TTCTTGCCGCAAAAGCTTTATGAATAATTGACTTGGAGAACAGCATGCTGTGGAACACCATGGCAGCAACATTCTGCTTCTTTCTTGACATCTTGAAGACTTCCTTGTGCTCCATTAATGAAGGTTGCGCTACCCAGAAGTTTTGTTCCAGGAATTAAATGCATTGAAACACCCACGTTGCAGTAAATCCATCGAGCAGCACAATATCCTGAAAGCCACGAGTCCCCATTCTTAAAAAATGTTCTTATTTTTTATCCATGCTTTGTAGAGCTGAACCCAGGGGTGAAATCCAGCAGGTTCTGACAGGTTCTGGAGAACCGGTAGCGGAAATTTTGAGCAGTTCTGAGAACCGGTAGCGGAAATTTTGAGCAGTTCGGAAAACCGGTAGCGGAAATTTTGAGCAGTTCGGAGAACTGGTAGTGGAAATTTTGAGTAGTTCGGACAACCGGCAAATATCACCTCTGGCTGGCCCCAGAGTGGGATGGTAATGGAGATTTTGCAATACCCTTCCCCTGGAATGGGGTGGGAATGGAGATTTTGCAATATCCTTCCCCCAGGAGTGGGGTGGGAATGGAGATTTTGCAATATCCTTCCCCCAGGAGTGGGCTGGGAATGGAGATTTTGCAATATCCTTCCCCTGGAGTGGGGTGGCAATGGAGATTTTGCAATAACCTTCCCCCAGGAGTGGGGTGGGAATGGAGGTTTTGCAATATCCTTTCCCCAGGAGTGGGGAGGAAATGGGGATTTTGCAGTATCCTTCCCCTGCCACCCCCACCACGCCCACCAAGCCTTGCCCACAGAACCTGTAGTAAAAAAAAATGGATTTCACCACTGGCTGAACCTCTTGAGTAGTCAGGTTCCAAACATTTGCTATTACCCAGGTTAGGTTTCCTCTAATTGGGGTCCCCTGGGGATGGGGGTGCTAGGATCCTCATGCTGACTGAGAATCCTGAGAGTAAAGTGTCGACCTGCTTGAAGATCATTCATTAATTCATGAAATCAATTCTTACGGCTGCCCATTTCAGCCAGTGACTCTGGGCAGTGAGCAATCATTCCCTCCTAAATGTTGATAAGTACTTTCCACCTGTTGCTAGGTTGCTCTTGCACTATTTATGAGAATGGTTGTGTAGTGAGCATTTTGTCAATTGGGGAAGTCCACTCCCTCTATGCCAAACTCTTTTATTGACCTAGTTATTCATGTCTGGTTTTGTAGAATCCAACTCTTTCAGATTTGAGAAACGATGTTTGCTAAGAGAGGGCAAATCAATTTTTTTCAGTTCAGAATTGAGCTGGAAGGGACCTTGGAGGTCTTCTAGTCCCAACCCCCTGTTCAAGCATATATACCATTTCAGACAAGCACCTTGTTGTGGTCCGCTAGTGGCCTGCGCGGATCGTGGCTGATCCCGACGACGAGGAGGCTGGTGTGGAGTCATGCCAGCAGCCTGCACAGCCAGCGCTCGCGTCGGACAGCGAGGAGGCTGAAAAGGATGTGGTGCCAGAGGCAGAGACTCAGCCTGGGCCTTCAGAACCTCCAGAGGCTCCTTCAAGTGGAGAGAGCGAAGTGGAGGAGCCTCTCCTCAATGCTCGAGCACGCAGGGCTGCCAAAAGGCAGGAGTGGCTACTCAGGAGGAGGAGGTCTCCTCGAGAGTAAGGTTTGAGGATAATTGGGCACTCCCTTAGCCTATTTAAGTCGCACGCAGTTAGTAATTTCTTGCTGGAAACAATGTGTAATTATTACAGAGCAGCTTGGAGAGTGTGTGTCTTATCGTATCTTGTTTTCTGGGCTGGTTGCCAACCTTTGCTGGACTTTGTACATTATAACTTTGATAAGGACCGTTGGTGTGTGTCACAATCCTTGGGAATCCGGAGCTGGGGCAGAACACAGCTGCCCATTCTCTTCTTAAAAACCTCCAGTGATGAAGCACCCACAACTTCTAAAAGCAAGCTCTTCCACTAGTTAATTGTTCTGTTCGGAAGGTTCTCCTCAATTCCACGTTGCTTCTCTCCTTGATTAATTTCCTGTTCTTTGTTCTTTTTTTTCTTGTTTCTTGTTCTATTCTCTGGTGGTTTGGAAAATAAACTTGACCCCACTCTTCTTTGTAGCAGCCCCTCAAATACTGGAACACTGCTATTATGTCACTTCTAGTTCTTTTCTCTAGACTAGCCATACCCAAATCCTGCAAATAAATAAATAAATGCCAAATCGAGTTATAAAACATCTGGCTAACTGCATGATCAACCATCATAATAATAACCCACAAACAACACCCAGTTTCAAATTTGGTACATGCAAGGGTGTGAAGACAAAATGACTGCAGCTGTTAGGATTATTATTTTTATTTTTTTTTAGTTTTTCATATAATTAGAAGAAATAAGTAGAAGTAATAAGACACGCTGCATATATATGTATGAATATGATTTCCATCCTTTAAAGGTTAGGAATGGGGTGGTTTGGGAGATGAGCTAAGCTTTTACTGGGGAATAGGTCTTACTTTGGCTCTGTAGGTGTTGTCAGATTTATTAAGCAAGACCTTAACTAGTCGCAATAAATTTACAAGGACTTTCAAAACTGATGAAATTTTTACCCTGGAGCAAAAATGTTTCATGCCAGGTGCCTTAAGCACTGATATAGCCCAACCTTTTTGATGTTGACAACCACAGAACAAATAGGATTAAACACAAGTTTGAAGTTAATATATAGGATGAAGGTTGGATTTACCTGAAAAGCAATTAAGTGAGTCCTGATTTTTCTAAGCAGAGAATCTGAGATTAAAATTTGCTTTTCTCAGTAGCCGTGTGAATCTCCTACAACTTCAGCGCCCATTGGCACTCAGCCGTCTCCTTCCAGAATAAAATGCACGACTTGAATGACTCAGTTTAATGACAGTTATTTTTTAAATTCTTAAGAAGCTGTTGAACAGAGAACAGGGTGTCCTTGGGGTTGAAAAATTCAAGATGGCAGCCATGCGTGTAAGACGGGTGGGTTCTACTTACCTTTACTACCGGTTCGCAACAGGATCGTGCGTGTGCAATCGCTTCGTTCGTGTGTGCGCCTTGCTTCTGCGCATGTGGAGATCGCTGATGACAACATACAGAGTGGTGGGCGGGGCCTCCCACCGGTTTTACTACCAGTTCTTGCAAACTGGTCCGAACCAGAGGTAACCCGCCACTAGTGTAAGATCAAAGCCTGTTCCTTTTTAATGTGTGTTGTGCCTGCACACATAAAAGGAAAGGATTTTTTGTAAAGTCCTGTTGAGGGCAATCCCTGGCTCATAAACAGCACTTAAAAAGAAGCTAAAATAGATGGAGACCAATAGATGAAAAAAATATGAAGTTGTAAGTGAAGGCGTGTAATAGAAGCAGTAGCTAAAATATAGGAAATCTCATCTTCCCACATTTGGTGTGTTTCAAACTTACTCCTCTGAGATAGAGATGAGCCTTTTGAGGCAGTGGATCAGGGGTGTCAAACTCGCATTGTCACGGCGGTGTCACATGACATATCACAACTTTTTTCCCCTTCGCTAAACCAGGCGTGGGCGTGGTCAGCGCATGACGCAATCCGGCCCACAGACCGCAAGTTAGATCAAATATCCCAAAACCATGAACAGCAATAGTATATATTTTCCACCAGGTTCTGTTGGAATGCCACCTAAAATGGGTGCATTCAAACTCTGAGAACCTTTATATATCTCTTAATTTTCCCTTCAAAAAAAAAAAAAAATCCAAAAAAGAAGGAAAAAGATGGAGATAGATTTGGGTCATCCCCTGCCATTTAGGTTCTTGGCAGCTAAATAAACAGTTTCAATCACTGTGGATCCCATCTGCCAAAAAGTTGCCTGCATTACAATTAAATTAAATTGTTACTGAGTGGGATGAGAGAAATTAACACCAAGCTGTACATTTTCAGCATCAGAGTGATGTTTTTGATAATATATAGTTCTGCCTTACGTAAACGGTTCTTCCTTTTTTCTGATAATTGTGACAGACGTGTGTATCATCTATACATCTGGGATTGGTCTGTTACACCAAATATTCCTAATCTGTGCCATATGGAGCCTGAAGAGTGATCATCAGCTCTGAACTTACCATGAATGTCCAGGGCATCTTACTTCTCAGTAAATATAACCTGGTTTATCTGAGGAACTATTTCTCCCCAGTTACATCACCTTGCCCCGTTACATTTCGCAGAGGTACCACCAGCATTTGGTGGGTCCCAGGAGACATGCCTTCTCTGCTGTGGGGCCCATCTTATGAAATATTATTCTCCCCTCCCCCCCTCCATCTCTTTTTGACATTTTAGAAATCCCTCAAAACCCGGTTTATTATCAGGCCTAGAGTCTCAGGAATCTGGACTCAAGTGTAGATGGCTCCATTGCTGGTTGTTCTTACCTTCTCCTGTTTTTTATAATATTTTTTTTTTTTAATGTGGTTTATAAGCATTTTGCTTGTTGTTTTTATATGTGGTTTTATCCAGTGGTGAAATCCATTTTTTTTTTTTACTACCGGTTCTGTGGGTCTGGCTTGGTGGGCGAGGTGTAGCTTGGTGGGCGTGGCAGGGGAAAGATACTGCAAAATCTCCATTCTGTCCCCACTCCAGGAGAAGGATATTGCAAAATACCCATTCCCACCCCACTCTGGGGCCAGCCAGAGGTGGTATTTGCTGGTTCTCTGAACTGCTCAAAATTTCCGCTGCCAGTTCTCCGAACTGCTCAAAATTTCCACTACCGGTTCTCCAGAACCCGTCAGCACCTATTGGATTTCACCCCCGGTTTCATCCACTTCTTGGGCTCCACCCAGAGTCACCTTTAGTGAGATGGACCTTTGGGAGAAATAAAAATAAACCAACAGATGGAGGGGGAAGTTGATGTCTGTAACAGAATTTAGAGTCTGTTGGCCCAAGTAGTTCTTAAAGCCCTCTAAGTAAAAACTTCTGAAAGTTCTTTACCAGGAAATCAACTTTGTCGCAAACTGTTACGCATTTCATATTTTTTTCTTTGCAGTTGAGATTGCGGATTCCAAGATGCCGTGTACAAGGCATAAAAATGCCGTGTATTAGGAAGAAGGTCGACCAAGAATCTCCTCCGTTTCTCCACGAGAGCATTGCCAAGATACATCAAAACAAGGGATGCTTCACCAAACTCAGGTTCTTAAAATATGGGTCATTAGAGCAAATACTGGTTGGATCAGAGAACAGAAAGCATTGCTAGATAGAGTTGGAATAACTTTGCTTTACAGTGCCTGCCTCCCAGCAATTTTGCCTCGTTACAGCAAATAGCCTGCTTTACTTTCGTTTTCGTTTTCAGCAAGGCCCAGGCAAAACAGCTGAGAGCAAAACAGCTGAGAGTCAGGAGGCCAATCCAATCAACTTGTGCTAATTAGGCTGTGCTGAAGCTGAAACGAGCTGTTTCTTCTTGCTGCTTGCTGGAAGGAGGTAAACTGCTGGGAGGCAGAGGCCAAAGGGTGGGGGCTAGTGGGTGGGCGGGGCTACATTCGGTGTATAAGACGCGCCTAAATTTTCACCCCCTTCTGGGGGGGGGAAGGTGCGTCTTATACTCCGAAAAATACGGTATATCCCACCTTTATTATTTTTACAAATAACTCACATTGCTGTGGCTTCTACCAGATGCTTGTGCTAGTATCTCCTTTTTAAGATTGGAATCTGTCTTCTGTGGGCCCAAGAATTGTTCAGATCCAGCGGTGGGATTCAGCCAGTTCGCACCACTTCGGGAGAACTGGTTGTTAACTTTCTGAGCAGTTTGGCAAAGTGATTGTTGGAAGAAATCATTAGGGCAGAGAACCGGTTGTTAAATTACTTGAATCCCACCACTATTCAGATCCCTTTCTCCTGCTGATTAGAATATTTCAAGATGAAAGGTTCTCTAACAGCGAATAAATTAAAAGTTCAAGGTTGAAATGCAAAGAGTCAGCCTCCAGACAGTTCTGGGGTGACAGGGCCCAGCACCTGCGAACAATTCTTCGCTACTGTGGAAAGTTTGTGTTTTTGTCTTACAGATTTGCCCAAGGAGGTAACACTGCGAATGGATGAACAGCGACGGGCCTGGAATTTATAGACTGTCCTTTGGGGTGAGGTAGTAGGTTGTATAGTTTTAGGGTTAGACCCTGACTGTCAGATAACTATACAATCTACTGTCTTTCCTGAAGTGGCTGTGATAGCAACACAGGAGGCATCGTCCCAGCTTTCTAGAAACCGTGCTTTATTATTTTGTGTGCATGATGCGTTTTGAGTAAAAGCTTAGAAGACATAGTGGCATGTTAGAAATTCAAGCAACGTTACAGTCCAATAGTCCGTTTATTACAATAAATAAATAAATAACTTTATTGTCATTGTACGTATATACACAGTATACCCGTACAACGAAATTCACTTAACACCCAAAGACTAGGTCCAACACACATAACAATCCCCAAACACCTCCCGCCCACCCACCACAAATTTCCCCCTCCCCGATGTTAAGATGGTGGCTGCACCCACCTCATGAAACCCCCATCTCTTTCCACCTGCTACAGCGCACGTACATACCCACATACCCCACAGATACCCCAATCCCCAATAATGTCTTTTTGTACATGCCGTACACAGAATGAACTGTCTTGGGTCCAGATTTATAAATTTATCGTAACAATGGACTGAATTTGGGGGGGGGGGTCCTAAAAGAAAAGAAATAACACTTGCAGAATTCAAAAAAAGGACAAAAAATATTTCCCTTTGCGTACTGATTTCCTAAAAGCTTTAAACCGTTTCCAAATGGATGCAAGTATCAGTCTAAAAGTAATGGAATGGCTATCCCGAAATTGTTGTTGACTAGAATTATTCCTAGTTAATGCTCCTGAGTGGACAGATCGCAGATCAGGAAACATTCCCATTACAGTTAACTTTTGAATTCATGGAGGAGGAGAAAGAAAAGGCTGTGAGGTAATTCCTCACAGTGAGGTGGTGATCCAGAGCTTTAAGATGAGGAAGGTGCTAATATTGTTGCTTTCTTTATAATTTGTTTAAACCAGTGTTTCTCAACCTTGGCAACTTGAAGATGAGTGGACTTCAACTCCCAGAATTCCCCAGCCAGCTATATATTAATTTTTGCTACAAAAGACGCATTATGGCTTATTTTCTGGTTAGGTCTTATTTTGGGGAAAATACAGTACTAAACGCCTCCGTCTGTTGACGATCTTAACTGGTTTAGTTTTAGTTTTGGGGTAGGGCTTATATTATGAACATCCTGAAAAACCATGCTAGGGCTTATTTTCCGGTTGGGTCTGATTTTCAGGGAAATGGGATATATATTGTAACTTGAAATCAGAAAGGAAGCATGACGGGACATGACCAAATCATGTGAGTCACGAGTATCCCCAAGTTTCTCATGACACGATCTCCCCACCAAGGAGGAACCAGATCCAGCATTAAGAATCAAGGTCAGCTGAAGCTTCACCCAGCTTTCCAGCAGGGTGAGGTAGTAGGTTGTGTGGTTTCAGGGTAGTAATTTTGCCCCAATCAGGAGTTAACTATACAACCTACTGCCTTCCTTGAGGAACAGCTTTGCAGCCTCTCCGAACACTTCAGAGTACAAGCCTACATAGGTTTTATGCTACATTCACATTCCCACTTTATTCAAAATAAACCAAACAAGGAATGAAGCTGAGAATTTCCTAGCAGAAAAGGCCATTCTCCCCAGAGAATTGCAACTTTTCATCCAGTTCAGATACCCTCTCCAAGTTTTCACTATTTCAGGACCAATGTGTATGTGAGTATTAAATTATTCTCTTTGTCAAAGCCTTTGTATCAATAAATCCTACTGAATTTGCCAGTCAAGGCATGTTTCTAGAAAGCCTCTTCGTGATCTCAAAGCTGAAATAAAAAGATTTTGTGTTTTCAAGTATTGGTCTTATGTGTCATTAGAACTGAATTAAATTGTCATGGTGGTCTTTTTTTCCCAGGGCCGCTAATTGACTTACATTCAGGTCTAGCATAGTAGGGGAAAAAAACTGAAACAGAAAGATTTCTGTTTTTATTAGAGATGAACAGGTGAGTCCAAGTAGATGCAGCCCATAACATCTTTCTACAGGAGCACAGGTGTGTGTGTGTATGTCCCCTAAAAAGTCAAGATGGTAGCCATGATGGCATGATTTTTTTTATATAAAAAAAGTTTTTATTTTATAAACAAACAAACAATACATAATCAATCATTCAATATGTCATCTAAGTACATCTTTCTTACTCCTCCAATATTTATCGTATCTTAATATTATCATTTCATTTATTATGACATTTCCCCCACATTCCTTACTTCTCTATTAACACTTCTCTATCTTTTTATTTTATTAAAAATGTTACAACAATTTTATCCCCACACAACCTTCTACCCCCCCTCCCCACACCCCCCCGACTTCCCAGAGCAAAAACAGGGTATAACATTTAACAGACCTAAGCTAAAATATGCTAACTTTTAGCATATTTATTATTATATATTATTATATTATGACGGCATGATTTTATTGGCAACAAATACACACAAAGAGTGAATCTTGTGGTTGTGATTGCCCTCTGGACTTTTTCAACCCACAGACACCCCTACTTGGAAATATTCCGACAACAAACAGAAAGAGCCCCGGAGACTCTTGTGAAAAAGAGCAGCCGGGAGGGGGAAGATTTTCGAAATACTGAACTTAGAAATCTCAGCCTTTGTGTTACGATGCATTAAGAGTCAAAAGGCACTTTGAGTCTGGGTGAGAAAATTGCTTCTAAAAGCTCTCTCCCTCAGTACGAAGCTATCAATATTTTTCAGGACACTGGGGAAAGGCCTTCCACCCGTAGTATTGCCCAACAGTAACCAACACAAATATTTTGATCCGATTCATATCATCATGTTTAAATGCCTACCGTATTTTTCAGAGTATAAGATGCACTCCCCCCGCCCACCCCAAAAGAGGGTGGAAATGTTGGTGCGTCTTACACACCAAATACAGCCATTTTTGGCCTCCCGAAACCTCATCCTGCTCGTCCCATTTTTGCAAAAACGGGGTGCACAGAGAGTTTGGGAGGCCTACAGAGTGCTCCTGGGGGCTGGGGAGAGCAAAAACAGTCCTGTTTTTCGCAAAAACGGGGTTGTGTTTTTGCCCTTCCCCAGCCGCCAGAAGCACTTGCAGGCCTCCCAAACCCTCTGCGCGCCCAAACCTGCAGACCTCCCAAACTCTCTGGGAGGCCTGCAGAGTGCTCCTGGGGCCCGGGGAGGGCAAAAAGTTTTTTTTTTCCTTACCTCTTCGAAATCCTGGTGTGTCTTATATACCGGTGCGTCTTATAGTCCGAAAAATACGGTAGTTGGGAGAACAGGCAAATACCACCTCTGGCTGGCCCCAGAGTGGGGTGGGAGTGGAGATTTTGCAGTATCCTTCCCCTGCCACGCCACGCCCACAGAACCGGTAGTAAAAAAAATTTGAATTCCACCACTGTTCCCATCCCCTTGTTTGCTGTTAGAAGGAAAAGCACCCACTGTAGTATGCTTTTTACTAGATTTACACCTATCCCAAATCGAATGAAGTTGGATTCTCAACATATTAATTACTTCCTATGATTGTCTCCTAAGAAATACACCTCCCATGTTTGAGGTGAACCTGCCTTGCCAGGACCTCAGGTTGCATTGGCCTCAGCTGTAAGTAATTTTTTTTTGAGTAGGGGGGCAGAGAAGATGTATTTCAAACCATGGTCAACAAAAAGCAAGTGAGATTTTGATTTTACCTGGTCAAACAGCCACTAGCCCTTCAGCTGAGCAAAATGGGATGAAGGCGTTCAAGCGATCTACGCAGCCAACTGCAATGCCCAAGAGCAAAATCGGTTTTCCGGGATTCTATCACTACCTCTGTTTTTTTACCTGGCAATAAACCTGATTAAAAGAAAGTCCTTGTGAATCTTGTTTATCTGATCACGGTGTGTCCCTGTTTTAGGAGCTCGATACCAACATGTGCAAATCTGATCTGCTCCCCAAATTAACACACACTCATATACCCACACAAAATGCAAGGATAAACTTTTGCAACTCAATTCTTACAGGCCAGACTGCTGCTAAATTCACAGGGGTGAATTTTGCGAAAATGTATATTGTGAAGGCACGACGAAGACATCTGCAGAGGCACCTTACGGAAGACAAAAAAAACGATGGGCTTGTGGCCCCCATCTGCTATTCCTCTGGTCCAGGGGTCTGCAACCATTTGGACCCGTTTCCCACAGAAAAAAAAAAAAAAACACCGGGAAACACAAAACCTTTTCTCGTTCTCCCCCCCCCCCCATCTCTCTATGTCTCTCTCCCCCCTCTCTGTAGCTCTATCTTCCTCTCTCTCCCCCTATCTATCTCTCCCCCTCTTCCTCTCTATCTCCCTCCTCTCTCTGTATCTCTCCCTCTTTATCTATGTCTGTCCCCTCCTCTCTGTATCTCTATCTTCCCCTCTCTCCCCCTCTCCCTCTCTATCTCCCCCCTCTCTGAATCCCTCTCTATCTATGTCTCTCCCCCCCTCTCTGTATCTCTCGGATTTCCAAGGCCAGGTGAGGAGTGACTGGGAGGGGAGGGCGAGGGGTGGGGCCAGCCAGTGATGAGACAGGGAGCTGCAGCAGAGGGGCAAAAAAGCCAGATGCGGCTCAGGAGCCGCAGGTTGCTGACACTCGCTCAGGTTGATCATTGAATAGTGTGAGTGTATGTTAAGATATCACCACTCCAATTTGAAGTCCTAACACTGCTTCTGAGTAGGAAAAAGTGGCCCAAAAAAGCTTATGTTTAAAAGCTTTCGCCTTAACAGAACCAAATGCATGATGGAAATTACTTGAAAACAGTTGAAGAAGGATTGTAGCAAATACCAACCAGGAATAATCGACATGACCAACTAAAAAGGAAGCAATTTGATGTTTCATTTCTTCCTAAGTCAGAAAAAAAAAATATTTTCCTGGCTGATCTGAATCTACTCTCAGGAGTACTGAGTCTAGTTTTGAAGGGACCATCACTTGCAATGCAAGTGCAGTCCAAAAAAGTCAAGATGGCAGCTATGATGGAAGACTTGCCCCCTTTTTGATCCTGGCTGTTGTGAATACTCCTGCCTACAGCTCACCTCTGCTGAGGACTTCCTTGTCCCCTGAGATAAAAACCTATCCATCTGCAAACTCTTTTTATATTGAACATCTGCTAGGGGAAAAAAAGTAAGTTCAACTGACTGTGAAGATATCCTATTGGCAGGGGGTGGGCTTAAAATTTTTTAGCAAGGGGTTCTCTGCCCGGTTGCTGGGTGGGCGTGGTCATGGTGGGTGTGGCCTGTTCGGCCTCCTGCATCACGACAGGGGGGTTGTTTTTGCCCTCCCTAGGCTCCGGAGGCTTTTCTTGAGCCTCCGGGAGGGAAAAAACAGCCTCCCCAGGCTCCAGAGGCCGTCTGGAAAAACGGGCCTATCGGAAGTTCAGGAAGGCCGGAACCCTTTCCGGCCTTCCAGAACTTCCGGTAGGCCCATTTTTCGCCCTCCCTAAGCCTCCACACGCGCACTGCACTTACCTGCATCCAAAATGGGCCATGTGGGGACTCCGGGGAGGGGAGGGGCAGGCTGGGCTGGGCTGGACCAGCCAGAAGTGGGATTTGGGGGTTCTTCGAACAGCACAGAATCTTAGCTAGAGGTTCCCCCGAAACCCCAGCAGCCCAAACCTGCCTATTGGCCTAGGAAGGGAAAGGACTTCATCTCCCTTGAAATGAGGTCACCTTCCTGCTTTATCAAAAGTCTTGCTAAGGCTCACTCTCTGCGGTTCTATTCTCCTCCTCCGCTGAACTTCACCCAGGTTGATTTATAAACCTTCATGATCTCACTGGGTTATACGGTGCTGTCTCCGTTAATGCTCACTGCATGTTTCTAGATTTATGATAGCTTTTAAGCCAGCCTGCGTGGGACATGATGAAAAATAACACTTAAAGGAAGAAGAAGAAAAAAGAACACTCAGAAGAACCAAAAGCCATTGGAATGGCACAATGGCGAGAGATTCAGAGCCATTTTCTGTCCCTGCATTTTTGAGCTTTGATCGTTAACGTCGATCCACCAAGACAGAATCTGTGCGTGAGCTGAAAAGAGATGCTTCGGTGGCCTTCCCATTGATTATACATCCTTCCAAGCAAAGGTGGGCTTCAAAAATTTTAGCAAGGGGTTCTCTGCATGGTTGCTGGGTGGGTGTGGCCAAGGTGGGCATGGCCTATTCGAACTTCTGCACCATGGCGGGGGGGGCCCTCCCCGGGCTCCAAAGGCTTTTCTTGAGCCTCCGGGAGGGTGAAAATGACCTCCCCAGGCTCTGGAGGCCCTTCCCGAACTTCTGGTAAGCCCATTTTTCACCCTCCCCGAACCTCCTTGCACTCCTTGCACTCACCTGCATCCAAAACAGGCCATGTGGGGACTCCTGGGAGGGGAAGAGAAGGGAGGGGTAGGTGGGGCCAGCCAGGAGTGGGATTTGGGGGTTCTCTGAACTGTACAGAATCTTAGCTAGAAGTTGTCCCAAACCCCTGTGAACCCCCAGCACCCACCCCTGCTTCCAAGGCAAATTTATTTATTTATTTATTTATTTATTTATTTATTTATTTATTTATTTATTTATTTATTAATTATATTTCTATACCGCCTTTCTCCAGTAGGACTCAAGGCGGTGTACAGTCAAGAAAAATATAGACACACAAACATCATAAAATTGCTAATTAAAATTATTACTTAGTTTGGTCAATTAAATAAAACCCAGAATTAGATAACATTTAAAAAATCATTCACATGTTTGTATGTTTAGCCCTGCCTGTTGGAACATCAGGGTCTTGAGGGCACGGCGGAAAGCACGGAGATCAGGGATATTCCGTATCTCCGGGGGCAGTTCATTCC